GGTTCCCAAGCGGAATATGAGTTGCTGTTCCTGCAACCTTCGGGTGGTATCATTGTGGCTCTGCAGGAGGCCCAGGATGGACATGTCGTCTGAGGAATGGGAGGGGGAGTTGAAATGGTTCACGACTGGGAGGTGCAGTTGTTTATTGCGAACCAAGCATAGGTGTTCCGCAAAGTGGTCCCCGAGCCTCCGCTTGGTTTCCCCGATGTAGAGGAGGCCACAACGGGAACAGCGGATGCAGTATACCACATTAGCAGATGTGCACAAGCTTCAAAATCTCCCCTCCCCCTACCGCATCCCAAAACCAGCCCAGCTCGTCCCCGCCTCCCTAATCTGTCCTTCCTCCCACCTATTCCCTCCTCCCACCTCAAGCCGCACCCCCATTTCCTACCTACTAACCTCATCCCGCCCCCTTGACCTGTCCGTCCTCCCTGGACTGACCTATCCCCTCCCTACCTCCCCACCTACACTCACCTTTACTGGACCCATCCCCGCCTCTTTGACCTGTCTGTTTCCTCTCCACCTATCTTCTCCTCTATCCATCTTCTATCCACCTCCCCTTCTCTCCCTATTTATTTCAGAATCCCCTTCCCCTCCCCCATTTCTGATGAAGGGTCTAGGCCCGAAACATCAGCCTTCCTGCTCCTATGATGCTGCTTGGCCTGCTGTGTTCATCCAGCTCTACACCTTGTTATCTCAGATTTTCCAGCATCTGCAGTTCCTACTACCCCTTCGGTCCAACTCGTCCACACCAACCAGACATCTCAATCTGACCTAGTCCCATTTGCCAGCATTTGGCCCATATCCCTCTAAACTCTTCCTATACATTTACCCATCCAGATGCCTTTTAAATGTTGTAATGGAACCAGCCTCCACCACTTCCTCTGGCAGCTCATTCCATACACGCACCACCTTCTGTCCCTTAGGTCCCTTTTATATCTTTAACCTCTCACCTTAAACCTATACCATCTAGTTTTGGACTTCCCCACCCTGGGGAAAAGACCTTGGCTATTCATCTTATCCAGGACCCTCATGCTTTAGAAACCTCTACAATGTCACGCCTCAGTCTGTGATACTCCAGGGAAAATAGCCCCAGTCTATTCAGCCTCTTCCTATAGCTCAAACACTCTCGTCCCGGCAACATCCTTGTAAATCTTTTTTGCATCCTCTCAAGTTGAACAACATCCTTCCAACACAACGGTAACCAGAGTTGTATGCAGTATTTTAAAAGTGGCCTCACCTGTGACTCTAGTTTCAAGGAACTTTCAGACCCAATACACTGCCCCCCTCGGTCTTTTGTTTGGCAACACTCCCCAGTGTCCTAACATTAACTGTATAAGTCCATACCGAAATGCAACAACTAATATTTAACTAAATTAAACACCATCTGCCACTCCTTGGCCCATTGGTCCATCTGATCAAGGTCCCGTTGTACTCTGAGATAATCTTCTTCACTGTCGACTACACCACCCATTTTTGTGTCAACTGTAAACTTACTAACCATACCTCCTGTATTCATATCCAAACCCTCTGTCTCCTACCTTCAAGCTAATTTTGTATCCAGTTGGCTAACTCCCCCTGGATCCCATGTGATCTAACTAGTCTACCACACAGAATCTTGTCAAACGCTTTACTGGAGTCCGTATTGACAACATCCACCATCAATCCTCTCTGTCATCTCTACAAAAAAACTCAATTAAGTTAGTGAGACACGATTTCCCACGCACAAAGCAATGTTTATGATCCCTAATCAGTCCTTGCCTTTCTATATGCATGTAAATCCTGTCCCTCAGAATTCCCTCCAACAACTTGCCCACCACTAATGTCAGGCTCCCCAGTCTATAATACCCTGGTTTCTCCTTACCACCTTTCTTAAATAGTGGAACCACATTAGCCAACCTCCAGTTTCTAGCATCTCACCTGTGGCTGTCAATGATTCAAATATCTCAGCCAGGGGCCCAGCAATCTCTTCCCTAACTTTCAACAAAGTTCTGGGAAACACCTGATCAGGTCCTGGGGATTTTTCTACCTTTATATGTTTTTCGACCTCCAGCACCTACTCCTGTTTAATATGAACTCATCAAGACATCACTATTTGTTTCCCCAAGTTCCTTAGCTTCCGTGTCCTTCTCCACAGTAAATACTGATGCAAAATCTTTGTTTAGTGTCTCACCTATCTCCTGTGTACGTGAGTGTGTGTAAGCACATACCAAGATGACACCAAACACACACAAACACCCTACACACACACCCACACTTACTTACACACACACACACACCCATACACTCACACACACACATTCACATACACAATACTTACACACACATCTACACGTACACACTTTCTCTCTGTCTCTCTCACAAGCACACACACACTCTCACACATGCACACATATACACACAATTTCTCTCTCTCTCCCCACCCATATACACATACATATTCTCTCTCTCACACATTCTCTCACTCCCACACACACTCTCTCTCTCACACAGACACATACCCACACTCTGTGTCGCTCTCTCTCTCTCTCACTGTCACTCTGACACACTCACCTACTCACACACATACACACACACACACGCACACTCTCACACATACACACTTTCTCTCTCATACACACACATACACAGTTCTGAATATGCCAGCATTGGGGAGCAGTCTATCAGAGCCACAATTTGAGAAGCCTGACATTTGTGTTTCTCTGTGAGCTGTTGAGTTGTAGGTTTCTGCTCTTTCAGCAGGTGGCGACACTGCGGCCGAGCCCCCTTGCATTGTGAAGGAGGAGCAGCCATTGGATGGTCACACCAGGAGTAGAGAGCAGATAGCAGTGCGAACAGTAACACACCAGCATCCACAGTAAGCAGACCAGAGCTTTAAAAACACATCATCACAGGCTGGGTGAGTCTGAGTAGCTCACTCAGTTAAACCGAGATGTTTTCCAACTTGAGAAGGATGGACGCTACAATCTCCTTCAGTTAGTTAACCCTCTCTGGGGATGAGGTTGTGGTGGAGGAGGAGGAGGATATTAAGTTAAAAGGCTGTGAGATACTGTGCTTGCTGGTCCTCGTGATCAAAGTGAATGGGACTGAATGTGGTGAGAGGTGTATTATTGGTGAGCGATTAGATAGTGCCCAAATTTAACATGCTGTCCTGTGTCTTTTTAAAAAGCAAATCTCTCTGCATTTCTCCAATGATGAGAGTGAGAAGACTCCTAGTGGCTGTGCCCAGTCTCGCTCGGTACCACTTTGATGCTGTGAGGGATGATGGCCTCACAATCTGACCCCCTCCACCATCCCATTCTCCTCCATCTCACAGACTAACGTCCATTTACTGCCAATAATTTCACTCGGTCCTCTCCCTGTCTTGCCACTCCTCTGATTTTTATTGCGTTGCACTGTCCCTTCGTGGTCAGTGCTTGTAATTCATCACTTTGTGACACGGGTGGAGGTTTATTTTACAACAAAGAGCTGTGTTATGTTCTAATTTGTGACTTCCTGCCTGTCTTCTGTTCCTGAACCTGTGCCTGAGTATCCTTAGTGAGGGACCGTGTGGTTTCTACCAGTACCCTCAGAGGGAGGTGGGCACCATTGGGGCTGGGGTGCATTATCTCCCCCACAAACAAGATTTTGGTTTCGATCTCCCCCCATCATAGAGTCATAGAGTTATACAGCACAGAAAAAGAGCCTTAGCTCCAACTCGTCCATGCCGACCAGATATCCTACATTAATCTAAGTCCCATTTGCCAGCATTTGGCCCATATCCCTCTAAACCCTTGCTACTCATATACCCATCCAGATGCTTTTTAAATGTTGTAATTGTACCAGCCTCCACCACTTCCTCTGGCAGCTCATTCCATACACGCACCACCCTCTGCGTGAAAATGTTGCCCCTCAGGTCTATTTTAAATCTTTCCCCTCTCACCTTAAACCTATGCCCTCTACTTTTGGACTCCGCTACCCTGGGAAACAGACCTTGGGTATTCACCCTATCCATGCCCTTCATGATTTTATAAACCTCTATAATGTCACCCCCTCAGCCTCCGACACTCCGGGGAAAATAGCCCCAGTCTATTCAGCCTCTCCCTATAACTCAAACCCTCCAATCCTGGCAACATCCTTGTAAATCTTTTCTGAACCCTGTCAAGTTTAACAACATCTTTCCTATAGCAGGGAGACCAGAATTGAACATAGTATTCCAAAAGTGGCCTCACTAATGTCCTGTACAGCCACAACATGACCTCCCAACTCCTATACTCCATGCACTGACCATTAAAGACAAGCATGCCAAACATCATCTTCACTATCCTGTTTTCCTGCGACTCCACGTTCAAGAAATTATGAACTTGCACCCCAAAGTCTCTTTGTTCGGCAACACTCCCCAGGACCTTACTATTAAGTGTATAAGTCCTGTCCTGATTTGCTTTTCCAAAATGCAGCACCTCATATTTATCTCAATTAAACTCCATCTGCCACTTCTTGACCCATCAGCCCATCTGATTGCCCCCTTTACTGATTGTGTTTGTATTTTCGCTCTCCCCTTGGTGAGCACTGTTCAAAACTCTTTTAGTTTTTGTGAATTTGATGATTGGAATTACTTACTAAAAAGGAAGCTGGGTTTCTCCTGAGTGGAGAGTTGGGTCCTAGACAGGGAGAGAATCCAGAGGGGAAAGGTGGAAATGGGTGTTTGTGCTAAACCGTAGATTCACAATGCCTTAGAAGAAATGTTTGGGCTACAGTGAAAGTCAACCCAAGAAATTACTTTAAATTCGAACTGCAGCATTCAACCGTGAGGGCACAGGTACAAATAATTAGGCGGTGATTCTCAGACTGACATCAAGAAATTCTTCATCCTTAAAGGAATGGTCGACCCATTAAATAAACTGGTGGATAAAGCAATGAAAGGAATGAAAGAAATAGTTCAGAAATAAAAGTCCTGATTTTAACTGGACTTGTTCTATCCAGGATGGAAATCTCCCTTAGAGGATCGGAGACAGTTTGGATCCCAAAGTCTCATTAACCTTTGGGACGTTGGGTTCCAATTTCCTGTGACTAAAACCACATGGTGGTGGTTAAAATGGCAGCAGTGAAGAAGACCTTTAGAATGTATAGCTACAATATTAAACTCCAATTAAACAGACATAAATTCTTGTCCTGAAATATCTCCAAAATAAAGAACTAAAGGGCTGTGCTCAATTTAAATAGCAGTTTCTTTAGAATCATTGGGGTCTCCAGGGAGAGAGTTGGGGAAAGGTGGAGGGATGGGTGAAGGAAGGTGACGACTGAGGGATGGGGGATGGTAAAGGAGGGAAGGAAAGGCTGAGGGAGGAGTGAGTACTCGCTGTGCTGATATGTATCTTCCTTTCCAGCAGGGGCTGTTGTTTGGGAGTCTCCAGTGACCAGCTGTGGCTAGCCAAGACAGGTTCGGCTGCCATATTGGGCCCAACTGCTTCAACGCAGTACGGGTCAGCAGATCAAACCAGCACCCAATGGTGGGCAGACGTGGCCCTCTGCCCCTGCTCATCAATGGCTACGGATCTTGCCTATCCCTATCCAACCATGGGCTCACTCCAGCCAGCCTCCCCCACCAGGCCTTTTGAGTGCCAGATCCCAGGCAGCAGGTTTGAGAAGGTGATACTTTGCTGCCCGAGTGAAGACCGTCTCCATCAAGGTGCATGCAGCGGATCCCAGACGCAGCAAGTCTCTCTGCCAACAACGTTGGACCAACCGACCAACGCCAGTCCCTTCAGTGACTCCTGCCTCACGAACGAGTGGCCATCAGCCATTGGAGCGCAGCCAAAGGAGGGAACAGTGTCTACTGGGCAGCTGCCGAGATGCCTGCTGGTGTGCCCGGTTGTCATGGGGTATAGTGTGCTTGATGCCAGCCAGATCCACCCAGAGGGCGCTGTCTGCGACCATAATTGGCTAAAGGCATCACTGACCAACCCAACATGTTGCCGAGGTAACAGCCATGACCCTCCCTCCCCACCAAAGGGCCGAGTGGGTGAGTGTGTTCATTCTTTCTTGCATGGGTGATGTGCCAGGCAGAGGGAGAGAAGTCTCTGCTGGGTTTTTAATATGACTCATTGCAAAAATTTGTTCCTGAAAAAATCTTTATGTACGTCCCCGGTTACGAAGACAGTTCTGTACACTGTTTGCAAACAGACATGGGAATTTAGCATTCCCTGCCATTGCAAAAAAAAACCAAGGCATTTCTTGATTATATAGGACACTATTTGTGTACATTTGAGGCAGCAAAAGGGTCTGATAGCTGAACGGAAACCCCATTGTACTTTGGCAGGAGCGTCTGTGCTGTTTTAGACTGAATTCACCCTGTTTAATAGTGGGTTACTCAGGAGAAGGCCCGACTCCACAGAGAGGAACCTGCCTCACCCCCAGACATTGACTGTTCTTGGGGTAACATACCGCAGCACTGCCCCATACCCCCTCACCCTGCGTGTGATTGTATCAAGCGGAGACAGTGGCGTCACCAGGAACAAAACCAGTTCAGAATCCCATCAAGGATGTGCAACAGGGATTCACCAAACTAACTCCTGAGGTGGGTGGGTTGTCCAGTGAGAGAAGATTAAATTAGAATTAGGTTTATTGCCACATGTACTCACGTGAGTACAGTGAAAAGTTTACAAGTCGCCATTTAGAGTGCCATCCTAGGTACAAACATACCTAGATACACATTCTTAAGTACAAATTCATAGGAAAAAATTAGAAAAATAAAGAAATAAAAAGTCCATCATTACAGACCTTTGCACCATCTTAGGTAGAAAAGTACAAAATCATAGGAATGAATTCGAAAAATAAAGAAATAAAACGTTCAAAATAACAGCCCTTCCAACCCAGACCGTGCCAAGCCTCCCCTCCAGTCCGCACGGGGCCTCCCCTCCAGTCCGCACGGGGCCTCCCCTCCAGTCCGCACGGGGCTCCCCACCAGTCCGCACGGGGCCTCCCCTCCAGTCCGCACGGGGCCTCCCCTCCAGTCCGCACGGGGCTCCCCACCAGTCCGCACGGGGCCTCCCCTCCAGTCCGCACAGGGCGTCCCCTCCAGTCCGCACCAGGCCTTGCCTTCAAAGTGAGCTGGGGTTCACCTCGAAGCTCTTGAGGCCGGGAATCCACTCTGGATTCACCTCGAAACCTACAGATTGGGCCTAAATTCTCTAGCGTTCAGAAGACTGAGAGGTGATCTGATTCAAATGTGCAAAACCCTTAAAGGGATTGACAGGGTGGAGGTAGGGAGATGTTTCCCCTGGCATAGGGGGGCTTGGGTCGGAGAGTGTTGTCCAGACCTGTGGACTATAGTCACAGGAAAGTGAGTTGGCCATTTAGGATCAAGTTAAGGAGGAATGTCTTCACTCAGAGGGTAGTGAATGTTTCGAATTCTCTGTCCCAGGGAGAGTGGAGGCTGAGTCATTGAATATGTTCAAGACGGAGATCTATTAATTTTTAGAAATTAAATATACCGAGATATGGGAATAACGCAGGAGCTGATGTAGGAGATCAGCACAGTCATATTGAATAACAGAGACAGCTTGGAGGGCTGAATGACCAACTCCTCTCCTGTTCTTATTTCTTATGTTTTTATTTAACTAAAGTAGAGGGGAGAGTTGTTGTAGTTTACTTGGATTTCCAGAAAGCATTCAGTAATGTTGCACGGAAGAGACTGTTAGCTATAATTAAAGCAAGATTTGGTCAACAAGAGAAGGCAGGATGTAGGGATTCATGGATCTGCACTGAATTGGAAGGAATTGTCCAGTGCTGTCTCACAAGCATCAGCATTTATTAATGACATTGTTAATACAATAGAGAGCCAATTCTTCAGATTTACCAATGATGCAATAGTTCTTTGAAAGTTGCATCACAGGTAGACAGGGTGGTTAAGAAGGCGTTTAGCACACTTGCCTTCATTGCTCAGACCATTGAGTATAGGAGATAACAAGGTGTAGAGCTGGATGAACACAGCAGGCCAAGCAGCATCAGAGGAGCAGGAAAGCTGACGTTTTGGGTCTGGACCCTTCTTCAGAAAGTATTGAGTATAGGAGTTGGGACGTCATGTTGAATTTGTAAAGGACGTTGGTGAGGCCTCCTGTGGAGTACTGTGTTCAATTCTGGTCACCCTGTTAGAGAAAGGATATTATTAAATTGGAGAGGGTTCAGAAAAGATTTACCAGGATGTTGCCAGGAATAGCGGGTTTGTGTTATAAGGAAAGGCTGGATAGACTGGAACTTTTTTCACTGGAGCATTGGAGGTTGAGGAGTGACCTCATTGAGGTTTATAAAGTCATGGGGGACATAGATAAGGTGAATTGCAAAGGTACTTTCCTGAGTATGAAGGGAGTTCAAATCTAGGGGGCATATTTTTAAGGTGAGAGGAGAAAGATTTAAACGGAACCTGAGGGGCAACTTTTTCACACAGAGGATGGTTCGAATGTAGAATGTACTGCCAAAGGAGGTGGTAGATGCAGGTTACAGTTGCAACATTTAAATGACATTTGGACAGGTACATGAATACGAAGTTTTAGAGGGAAATGGGCCAAATGCAAGCAAGTGGAATTAGTTTAGTTTGGGAACGTGGTCGGTATGGACGTGTTGGGCCGAAGGGCCTGTTTCCATGCTGTATGACTCTACGATGATGTAGTGAGTATTGTGAGCAGGCATATGATATACCAAAAGAGAAATTGATCAAATAAATTGGGTGAAGTTGTGGCAGATAGATTTCATCACAGTTAAGTGTGAGAGGCGAGAGATTATGGACCAAAAAGTACCGATGCAAATATTATTTAAAGGTACAAAAGTTGGTAATAGGGGAAGCCTGAATAGATTTAGTGGTGCCAGTAGAAAAGTTCATAAAATACAGAAGTCAGATACAGAAATAAATAAAAATGCCAGTGGAATGTTGGTCTTTATAACTGGAGAGCTGGAATCTAAAGGGGAACAGATATAGCTGTGGTTGTATAAATCTCTCAAACCATGACTGAATATTGTGTACAGTTCTAGGCACCTGAGGTGTAGTTTCACCTGTGATTGATGGGTTAGATTAGACAGTGAGATCATGTGAACTGAGCTTGTATTCCCTTGAATATAAACGGTTGAGGAGTGATTTCACTGAGGTTTTAAGGAGCTACGGAAGGAATCAATGAGGTAGGCAGGGAGAAATTTTCTCCTGGGGACAGGACACAAGGAGGCAATCTTTAATGTCAGAGCCAGGCTATTCAGGAGAGAAGTGATTTAGCATTTCTGAGCTCAGACGATGGTAGAATTCTCTCCACAAACAGCAGTAGGAGCTAGCCTATTTTAAGTCTCAGGTTGATAGATCTTTGTGAGCTAAAAGTATTGAGGGACACGGTGCCAAGGAGGGGAGATTATTGGATGACACTGCAGGAGTGAATGGAATCTTGCAGTTCTTGTTCTGTCATGTGCATAACTTGTTCCTCTCCAACAGTACCTCATCGCAACAGGCGCTAGCCATTCAGCCCCTCTAGCTCAGTCTCCTATGCACTTAGACCATGGGAGTAAGCAAGGACAGGAATCTATCTCAGTCTACATACCGTCTGGTCAGCCAGCTTGAAACTGAGACCCTGGCTGAGAGTAACTCCTGCAGTGCATGGAGTTTGGATATTCCTGATGTAACAGATGCTTTTTGTGGCTGAGAAAAATTCTGGAATTGACCCACTGCTGACTGCAGAACCGTTGTCGATTATCATAGAACCATACAGCATGGAAACAGGCCCTTCGTTCCAACCCGTCCATACCTAAATAAATCTAGTCTCATTTGCCAGCATTTGGCCCATATCCCTCTAAACCCTTCCTATTCATATACCCATCCAGATGCCTTTTAAATGTTATAATTGTACCAGCCTCCACCACTTCCTCTGGCAGCTCATTTCCATTACACACACTCTGTGCGAAAATGATGCCCTTTAGATATTTTTTAAATCTTTCCCTTCTCACCTTAAACCAATGCCCTGTAGTTTTGGACTCTCCCATCCCGGGAAAAAGACCTTGGCTATTTACCCTATTCATGCCCCTCATGATTTTATAAACCTCTGTAAGGTCACCCTTCAGCCTCCAACGCTCCAGGGAAAATAGCCCCAGCCTATTCAGCCTCTCCCTGTAGCTCAAATTCTCCAGTCCCAGCAATATAATAGAATCCCTACAGTATGGAAACAGGCCATTCGGCCCAACAAGTCCACACCGCCCCTCCAAAGAGCATTCCACCCAGACCCATTCCCCTACCCCTGTATTTCCCATGTCTAACCCACCTAACCTAAACATCCCTAGGCACTATGGGCAATTTAACACGGCCAATCCACCTATCCTGCACATTTTTGGACTGTGGGAGGAAACCGGAGCACCCGGAGGAAACCCACGCAGACACGGGGAGAATGTGCAAACTCCACACAGTCACCCAAGGGTGGATTCAAACCTGGGTCCCTGTTGCTGTGAGGCAGCAGTGCTAACCACTGAGCCACCATATAAATCTTTTTTGAACCCTTTCAAGTTTCACAATGTCCTTCCTAGAGCAGGGAGACCAGAATTGCACACAGTATTCCCAAAAGTGGCCTAACCAATGTCCTATACAGCCGCAAAATGACCTCCCAACTCCTATACTCAGTGCCCTGACCAATAAAGGCAAGTGTACCAAACACCTTCTTCACTAACCTATCTACCTGTGACTCCACTTTCAAGGAACTATGAACCTGCATTCCAAGGTCTCTTTGTTCAGCAACACTCTCCAGGACCTCACCATTAAGTGTATAAGTCTTGCCCTGTTTTGCCTTTCTAAAATGCAGCACCTCACATTTATCTGAATTAAACTCTATCTGCCACTCCTTGGCCCATCAGCCCATCTGAACAAGATCCCATTGTACTCTGAGGTAGTCTTCGCTTGTTGGCGAGAACTTTATATCAAACCTGTGCTATATCTGCTGTGGATATTTTTGTTGGGACAGTGTAGAGGGAGCTTTATATCCAGCCTGGGAGTGTTTGATATGCATAAAATTCCCAGGAAATCCATTCCATAGTCCCCATTTGAGTTATTAATGATGGTCTGTGTATTTACAGCTCTTTCACTGCGTGATGAAGTGGTCACATTTCCTGGTGGATACAATCTCGTTGACCATGGGATGAGTGTGGGAGAGGCTAATCCGATGTTGTGGGCTATGACCAGACAGGATCCTGAGACCAAGGGACAGACTGATGCAGAAGGTAAGGAGCCCCCCCCCCACTGCCAAGTTCTGCCAGCCACTTACTTAATTCTGTGGAATATTTCCACATAACAGCTTCTTTCCAGCAGGGTTTAGAATTGATGAAGGATTCCAAATCACTGTCACAAGACAGACCAATTTTTAAAAATGTACATTTAAAAACCTACAAACGTAGGGGAGGTGATGGCCTGGTGGTATTATCCAGAGACCCAGTTAATGTTCCAGGGACCCGGGTTCAAATCCCGCGATGGCATATTGAATTCAATAGAAAATTTGGAATTAAGAGTCATAGTAACCATGAATTGATTGTTAGGAAACACCCTCCTGGTTCACGAATGTTCTTCAGGGAAGGAAACTGCCATCCTTACCTGGTCTAACCTACATGTTACTCCAGACCCATAGCAATGTGGTTGACTCTGATCTGCCCTCTGGGCAATTAGGACAATAAATGCTGGTCTAGCCAGAGACGCCCTCATCCCGTGAATAAATAAAAATACGTCGTGCTGACCTCAGCCAATCCCATTGAGTGGAGTAATTTTGAATTGCATTCACTATGGTGCTATCAGAGCACACTAGCTGCTCTGATACTGAACCAGAGACAAGGTAGGGTCGGCCACAACCGCAGTGCCGTTACAGCTGGGTACAGTAAGATTGGTCAGCCCTGTTCACACACCTCAAATGCTACTGAGCTGTGTGAGTGTACTGCTCACACACCTCTAATGCTACTGAGCTGAGTGAGTGTACTGTACTGAGTGAGTGTACTGTACTGTGTGAGTGTACTGCTCACATACCTCTAATGCTACTGAGCTGGGTGAGTGTACTGTAGTGTGTGAGTGTACTGTACTGAATGAGTGTACTGTACTGTGTGAGTGTACTGTACTATAGTGAGTGTACTGTACT